TGTGCCAGTGCCATTTGTGCTGGTGCCCTGGGGCAAGTCAGCAACCTGTCTGGGTGTTGGTCTTGCACCGGATAGGCTCATCAGTTTGGATGAGCCAGACAGTGGTATGGGGGGATCCCTGATCCCCATGTCCTGTGAAGGACCAGGGTGGGGGGGGGGAGCCATGTAGTCAGCACTAAGCCTGCTTTGGGTCAGAGCTAAATCCTCAGTTGCAGGCAGACAAGAGGATGTTTGGAGCCAATTCCAGCCACTCATCAGCAGCATGCCAGAACCTTATCAGTGCCACTCAGCCATCATCCTGGCTTGTGTCTCTGTGTCCAGGATGGCAGTGGCACTCTGCAGCGCAGCAGCTCCCTGGGGAAAATCCGGGATGTGATACGGAGGAGCAGTGAGATGTTGGTCAAGAAACTGCAGGGCAATGGTCCCCTGGAGCCCAGGAACACCAGGTAGGTACAAGGATCAGGCTGGGTACAGGGCAGGTGGGGGCCCTGACACCTTGTGGGTCTGGATCTGATCAGACACAGCATGGTCAAACCTGCTCTCCTCTGATTTCTTGTAGCATGAAACGAGCTGCATCATTAAATTACTTGCACAAGTCTAGCGATGCTTCATTTGAGGTAAGCACAGGGTGGGTGGAGGGGCTGGTACAGGAGTGGGCATTGGGGTGGCGGCCTTGTGGCCTGCATCACAGCTGGTGAGGGTCATAATAGCGGGCCACAGGTGCAGTGCCTGAGACCTCACAGTGTGTGCGCTCTGCGGCTGTGTGGTGTTGGAGCCACTCTGCCTCGGCTGGTGGTCCCATGGCACCCCTGGGCAGCTGCAGACCTCTTCCAAGGTCATAGCTCCAAACCTGAAGGTGTTGCCTCCAAGTACCCACCTCCCTGCCTGCTCAGCAACCCCTCCAGCCACAGAATGAGAGCAGAGGCAGCACTTACTGGGTCTGACAGCAGCAACACCAGGGTATCTCTGGCTTCTGAGGCAAGGGGTGCAGGAGTTAGGGTAGCAGCTTTGGGGCATGGGGTTGGGCTGCAAGTACCTCACCAGCACTGTATTTTTTCTAGGGCACCCAAGGCCTCCGTGCGGAGAGCAGAGGCCTCAGCGCCAGCAGCATGGACCTGTCCTCCCACAGCTCCCTGCTCTCCTCCAACTGACGTGGCTGCTCTGCTGCTGGGCACCCTGGCTTCGCGCTGCACAGGGCAGCACCCGGCACCTCCCCACACCACCTGCTCTGTTTTCCCCATCACCGGCTCTCGTGCCACCGTCTGCCTGCCCAGCCCGGCCTCCCCCGGGAGTCCCTAGCTAGTTTGGGCACCGCAGCCCGCCCGCATGCTCCTCTGCCGCACATCGGGCTCAGCAGCCCCGGTGGCGGCTTGCTCGGTACCGGTCGCACACGCTCGCCTGGTAGAATCGCCAGCCCGGGGAGGGGGGGCGGGCTATCCCCCGGCCGGGGCAGTGGCAGAAGTGCCCCGTGCCCCCAGACGTCGGTCCCCCGCCGGGTGATCGCTGTACTTTATTTTATTAAATAAAACCGACCCTAGAAGCGACCGCGGCTCGGCCTGAGGCGGGGTGGGCGGGGGGGAGCGGGCGCCGCCTGGCGGGGGGACTGCGGCGACGGTCCGCGCGCGGTCCGCCGGCGCGCCAGGGGGCGCTCCCGCTGCGCCGCCCCGAGGCGCTGCCGCTCCCGGCGCCGTTCCCGGCGCACGCGATGGCGCGGATCACGCTGGAGGACCTGGAGCGGCTGGGCGAGGAGCCCGCGGCCGCCGGCGGGGACGGCGTCGACAGCGAGGACGACCAGGAGGAGCAGGGCCGGCTGTTCGCGCACTGGGAGGCCGTGGCTAGCACGCATCGAGTGAGCCTGCCCCGAGGTGAGCGCCGGGCCGCGGGGGTGGCGCGGGCCCGCCGGGGCTGACGGCACGAACCAGGACTCCTCCTGCGCTGCGGCCGGGGCGAGCCTTGTCTCTCCTGTTGCTTTGCCTTGCAGACATGGCAGGCCCGATCGCCCAGATGGCCCGGCACAACCAGGCTCGCGAGCCTGTGCCGTACGTGTCCCTCTCGCAGCACGGGAAGGTGAGGCCGGACCCTCTCCGCACGCCCGGGTTCTCACCCGCTGCCCGCCCGTGGTGAGGCAGGCTCCGGTGCTGTTGCCAGCCCGGGGAGCAGGAAGAGCCTCTCCCTGGCGGGGAAGGTGGCCCCGTGTCGGCAGGCGCGCACAAGCCTCACAGAGGTTCCCGCAGAAGCATCCCAGGATGGCACCTCTGGATCGGTGCAGTATTCTGGTGTTCCTGCATCTCCTCCTCTGTAGAGTAATGGCAGTGCTCAATTTTCCGGCCTTTATTTTAAAATTGGACTAGTCCTGCTGCTTTCTCTGGTCTTCTGACTTCTAGCTGCCTTCTTTACCAACCTGTTCTCTGCTGGGGTGGGCACATCCAAGAGAGTGAATTTTCAGTTCAGAGTCTGCTCCCTGCCTTGCTCGAAACTCCTCATTGCATAGCTCAAAGCCCTGCTGGCTTTGTATTTATGCTGGTTATGTGGCTACTCTTTGAGCTGGAGATCTCAGCAGGCATAAGATAAATATGCTTCTGTGGGGAATGCAGGGCCTCTGGCCCTTGTCGTCAGACCTGAGCATGTGTTGTTACTTGTCACAACTGCCAATCCAAACATGGTATCTTCTGCCTGAAGATCTCCTCTCCATGCTGGTCAAGTTGCACACTTCTTCTCATCTCTTGCACATATGGGTGCTTCTGAGCTTTGAGAAATAACTGCTTGTCAGACTGGTTCCTGTGTCTCTGCAAGCCTCATTGGGCTTGCTACCCAAGGCATCTGTCAGTTGTCCTCTATATGAGGAGAGGTTAACCATTTTTTCTGGGCTGAGGTCCAGCACTCCCTGTAAAACATGTCTGAGCATGTGGGTTGTGCAGCTCTGAACTGGGTTTCACCACACTCTCTTTCCCTGTTCTTCTGGTCCCAGGGACTTAATCTGGCTGCTTCTCCACCTGTGTTGATCCCAGGCAGGAATGGGGCCCCAGGACTTTGTGGGAACTGAAGATCTTTTGTTGCCTGAAGATCCTCTGTGCCTGAGGAAGATTCTTGGAGTTTGAGGCTGGGTGAGAAGAGCCACTTCCTGGCATTAGTGCTGAGGGGACTTTGGAGCTGGACTCTTAGGGACACATTTCCCAGGTTCAGGCAGGTCATTAGTATTTGTTGCTTCTCCTGAGCTATCAGTGCTACAAGACCTCATTCTCTCAGAGGCAAGTGAATTACTGTGTCACCTACAGTGCTGTGCTCTGTCGATACTCAGTCAAATTCCCCAGCTCACATTGCAGGGACCTGTTGCTACTGGATCTGTGTGAAGCATCGTCAATATTTCTCTTGGCCAACTCCTATCTGGACTGGTAGTGCTTAATATAAGGGTCAGGCTGTGGCATACCCTGCTGTTGTGACTTGCTGAGTTGATAAGTTTATTTGCAGATGATGTGGCAGATGAGAGTTGCAAATAGTGTAGAGGAACTGGTGGTTTTCTTGCTTGGAAAAGACTCTTTCCCTGCTCTGCTTTGCTTGATGGGACAATAGCTGGCATGGCCTCAGCTAGAAGGCTGGCCTACAGTGTTTTGGGGCAGTCTTACTGGCATCCCACTGATGCACAACAGTAGGCCAGATGCCTTCCTTCTGCCTTTGGTTTGGCTCTCATAGACCTGATGTGGGTGGAGGCACAGGGAGGACAACAATTCACTGTTGAGTCTGGTCACAGCTTCCTGGCTCGGTCACTGCCAGCACAGCTGTGGAAGCAAGAAGTTTGGAAAGATACCCTAAGCTCTGTGGAACAAGGTTGTCTCATGACCACTTTAATCTGGCTGAAGAACAAGAGAACAGCAGGAAGATAGGTGCTGGTTACAACTTCCCAGCATCTCTTTATGTGTTACCTGTGATCACAGACATGCCATGAGCTGAACTGTGAGCATATCCAGGTGCAATTTTCCCCACTCCCCTTGCCCTGCTTCTGTGTTGGCTTTCTCCAGAAGACTGGACATTCTGTCTTGGAAATAGAGAGTGCTGGTGAATGGAGCTGCATCCAGCTGGCGGCCGGTCACTAGTGGTTCCCCAGGGGTCTGTGTTGGGTCCAGTCCTGTTTAACATCTTTATTGATGATTTAGATGAGGGGATTGAGTCCATCATCAGCAAATTTGCTGATGACACCAAATTGGGAGGGAGTGTCGATCAGCTGGAAGGCAGGAGGGCTCTGCAGAGGGATCTGGATAGACTTGAGAGATGGGCTGATTCCAATGGGATGAAGTTCAATAAAGCCAAGTGCCGGGTCCTGCACTTTGGCAACAACAACCCCCTGCAGCGCTACAGGCTGGGCACAGAGTGGCTGGAAAGCAGCCAGGCAGAAAGGGACCTGGGGGTACTAATTGACAGGAAGCTCAACATGGGCCAACAGTGTGCCCAGGTGGCCAAGAAGGCCAATGGGATCTTGTCCTGTATCAAAAATAGCGTGGCCAGCAGGACCAGGGAAGTGATCCTTCCCCTGTACTCTGCGTTGGTGAGGCCACACCTTGAGTATTGTGTTCAGTTCTGGGCCCCTCAGTTCAGGAAGGATATTGAGGTGCTGGAGCGGGTCCAGAGAAGAGCAACGAGGCTGGTGAAGGGACTGGAGCATAAGTCCTATGGGGAGAGGCTGAGGGAGCTGGGGTTGTTTAGCCTGGAGAAGAGGAGGCTCAGAGGTGACCTCATCACCGTCTATAACGACCTGAAGGGAAGTTCTAGCCAGGTGGGGGTTGGTCTCTTCTCTCAGGCACTCAGCAATAGGACAAGGGGGCACGGGCTTAAGCTCCGCCAGGGGAAATTTAAGTTGGATATCAGGAGAAAATTCTTTACAGAGAGAGTAATCAGGCATTGGAATGGGCTGCCCAGAGAGGTGGTGGATTCACCGTCCCTGGAGATTTTTAAACGCAGATTGGACGTGTCACTGAGTGCCATGATCTAGTAAATGGACTGGATTTGGACCAAGGGTTGGACTCGATGATCTCGGAGGTCTTTTCCAACCCAATCGATTCTATGATTCTATGATTCTGACCCATCTCACAAAGTTGTCCTCTCTGCACCAGCTGGGTTCATGTCTCTTCTTCCTCCTATCACTTCTTCGTATGGGAGAGGGATCTGAGAGGAGTTTTGTCCTCTTCTGGATGCTAGAGCTCTTCTGCCAGATTTTCCCCTCTACTGGGTGGGAGTCTTTTTGCTCATTATCTTCTGTGCATACAGTGTTCCAAGGAAAAGGCACTGTACCTGAGGATAACATCAGCCTTACTGGAGGCCTTTGGGTGCCTGGAATCAGGAACATCCTTGTGAGTAGGCAGGACAGAGACCAGAGGATGTACTGCATTCCTTGTGCATGCCAGGAGCCTCCAGACCCCCTTGCACCCTGTCCCTTGTCTGTGCCTTTCCTTTTGCTGACTTTTGCCCGGTGCTCATAAGTATCCTTGTCTGAAGTGTGTGTCATGCCAGCTCCCCTTGCCTTCTTTGTCCTCCTCTGCCAACTGATTAGCAGAGGGGCTTGTTTTGGCAGGGTTGTGTCTACCCGCTTCTTGCCTGTCAGTGTTGGTTTTCCACCCAAGTGCTGCAGTGTTGTCAGCGTGCTTAACTCTGACTTGGCTTCTCTGTGGCCTGTTTCAGTGCGAGGAAGCAGCCTATGAGGAGCGGCGTTACCCAGCTGGGAAGTGGGCGTGTGTCACCAAGGGGGAGCCCATGTATGAGCAGAGCATCTCCATGAGCTTCATGAAGCTCATGCGCTACATCTGCAAAGAGAACTCAGTAGGTGTGTGCAGGCAACGGCTGGAGGGGCTGGCAGGCTGCACAGAGGGAGGGCTTTGCCACTGTCCATCCGGAGTGGGGAGGAGCGCTGCCACTTCTGACCCACCTGTCTAACTGCCTTCCTACCTCCTTCTAGGTTGCTATCTGGGCATGACAGTCCCGGTGCTCAACGAAATCCACCTGACCAAAGATGAGACCGAGCTGGAGCGTGAGGTCGTAACTGCCTATTATCTCCCAGGAGAGTTCCAGCAAAATCCTCCTGTTCCCATGGACCCTGAAATCCACATCACTGAGAGGGCACCGCTCCGGGTTATAACCAGGTGACCCCAGCACCAGAGGTGTTTTCTCAGCTCAGCGGAGATGTACGAACTCCCTGCATGGCTGCTGTGGTTCTTTGGGCGGAGGGATGGGAGCCCTGGCTGTGGGAAGGGGGAATGTGCTGGCTCTGTTACTTATGTTGCTTCCTTTGCTGCAGGGTTTTCTATGGGATGACCACTGAAGAGACAATTCTGCGGGAGATCAATCTCTTCTGGGAGCTCTTGGGCTCCACAGACACTGTGCTCCGGGAAACCTACATTGTGGCTTCTTATGAAAATCCCAGCATCCCTCAGCGCCGCAATGAGATCTGGTTCATCTGCCGAGCAGAGTGAGTCCCCTCTGTGACCGCAAACTGTCCTGTGACTGGACCTGGTGCAGATGGCAGTTCTGACCCAAAGCAGATGGAGCACGTCCTGACCCACTATTCACCCACAAAATGACAGACCAAGAGACTGCGGGGTGGGTTTGCAGCCTGCCCTGCAAGGGTTCTGTCAGGGGAAATCCTGCCTGATCTGCACTTCACCTGCCCCCACAGGGGCCAGCTGAGGCTGGAGCTGGCACCAGGGACAATCTCTGCAGCAAGGTCCTGGTGGGAAGCATGTGGTGGGGGGTCATTAAGGCAGTAACCATGTGGGCTTGTGCAATGTGCTAGCCTGACCTGTGCTCCTCTCAGCTCTGAGCTGGGCTTGCAGAGCTGTGCCAGGTATGCCAGTGGGGCTTGTGGTTGGCAGAAGCACAAGCTGATGGTGTCTAGAAAGCAAATGACTGTGTATAAGGTGTGGGGCTCTGTGTGGCCTCTGGCCTGCTTCCTGTGAGAATGGCTGCCTGTCCCGAACAGAGTCACTGAAATGCTGCTACGGGGACAGTGGGATTTGAAGAGGGAAAGGCCTTGAATTCAGGTGAGAATCCTGAATGTTTCCTGCCAGGGTGGCTCTCTTTGTACTGTTGGATGCCTCCCTGGCTGTCACTCAACAGTCATCAGCCAGGACTGGGGCGCTGGCAGCCTTTGTCCATCTATTGTGGGTGCTGTTTTGCAGACCTGCTGCTGAGAGGGACAGGTGCTGACAGCAGCAGGCGTGGCACCACTGTGTGTTGTGCACTGATCAGTAAGTCTCACATCCATGAATACCGTCATGCTTTCCTGGGGGAAGCTGGCAATGCCAACAGTAAATAAACCCAGCTCAAACCACTGCAGCTACTGATCACTGATGGTGGGGATGTGGGGTGTGTGGGTTGGCTTGGGAAGAGGCTTGCTGTCTCCTTCCTGAAGATGCTCGAGGCTGCAAAGCTGTGGCTAATTTGAAGGGCTCTAATGTTTGCCCAGGTTATGACCCTGTGTTAAGCCAAGCACAGCCTCTGCACTGCTGCACATGCTGCTTCTGTTGCTACTGCAAACAACTCTGGGCACGTTCCCCTGCCAGTAAGGTGCTTTGCTGTTGGATGGGGTCTGCTCTAGCCTCATTTTTCTCCATGCAAAATTTGGATCCTTTGGCTGTACTGCACATGGGCTCCTGATCTTTGGGGGTGAGAATTCTAATGTGACTGTACGTCATGCTGGTTGGCTGCAGAAACACATACTTCTGTAGGGATGTGTTTAACTGGCTTGGTGTCAAGGGACTTGTGACTGCTTCTGACCCAGTTCCCAAGGGGTTTCCTCCTGCTGTGACTGAATGTGTGCTGTGTGGCTCGCTGCCTGCTGCTCAAACTCTGGCTCTGGCCCTTTGGCCCTACACTGCAGCTGGAGGGTAGGAATGGGGGGAAAGCCAGGGCCAGCTCTGTGGTCTCACTGCCTTTAGCAGCACAGGTGGCTTCTGCCACTCCTTTCTTCAGTCAGATGCTGTTCACTGGCCTCTCCAGGCTGGCTTGCCCTCTGGCAGCAAGGAGTCTGGCTGCCTAGCTGGTGGCTGTGGGGAGAGTGGGGCTGAGCATGTTACATCCTTCCCTGCAAGGGAGCAAGGAAGCAAGGAAGCTTCAGGCAGAGTCTGGGCAAGCACAGCAAGGGCAGACAGTGGTTTCCTGGGTATCTTACGGTGCAGTTCTTGTTCCTGGGGCACTAAAGGCAATATGGACTGGGAAGATGCAGTGACAGCCTGCAGCTCTGAGGCTGATGTGGTAAGTGCTCCTCAGACAAGTCATGGTACCTGGGTCAGCAGTGCTGAACTCACTGTCTCTCCTGGGGAAAAAGCAGCAATGCTCTTATGTGAGGCTCAGGTCAGGTGGCTCAGTATCAGTGGGAGAGAAAGTCTGCCAGTGTGTGTGGGACAGAGACACTTTCTCTTACTACACATTAGCTGCTTTGCTTGTCTTGAGTTGCAGGTTGAAATAAAACTTCCTTTCTAGAGCTTTTTGAGTAGGGTACCACTTCCTCTGAGGCTTCTTGGTCCCCAACCACAACCAGAAGAGCTTTTGGTGGCAGGAGATGATGGCTTCCCTACACGAGGGGACTGGTCTGTGGTTACTGGCAAAGTTCCATGGCTGCATGCCCTGTGGGAGCAGCTCCGTGGTGTTCCAGGAGGTGGTAATGGAGGCTTCTGGTGCAGCACCAGAGTGGCACTGCCACGCAGGGCAGCAGCATGCTCCAATCCTGTGCCACAGGTTTTGCTGAGTACAGGCTTCAGCATCCTCTGTGATGGATTCAGCAGCGCTTGCGGGGATGTTGTGTGCCTGATGGCAAGACTTCCATGCAGTACCAAAAGCAGCTAGCATTTTGGAGGCTCAACAAACCGGCTGGAAAGCTGGCGTTCAGAGCTACAGCTGTGAAAGCCCGTGTTGCAGGACTGCAGCACATTCTACCGGAGGCATTGGGTCGGGCAGAGAGGCCTCCAGCCATGCAGATGGCCAGACCAGCTAATGTCTCGGCTTGGGCCCTGCAGAGGAGCAGCAAGGGGCAGGCTTCTTGTGCTTCTTGTGCTGTGTCCAGCCCTCTGCCCCTAACAGGGTGTGGAGCTCCTGGCCCCTGCTGCCCCAGTGCCTTCATAGGGTCTCTCACAGCGGTACAGACCGGGAGCTTCTGCCATCAACAGCCCGACTACGAGGAGCTCCTGGGCGGGAAGGGACCTCTGTCGCTTCCTCGCTGCTCCGGGTACGCCGTGTTCGGCAGGAGCAGGTCCCGGCAGCGCAGGGGCCCCCGGCGCGGCCCTCACGGCCCCCGGTACCGGGGAGGCTCTGCACGATGACGCCGGCGAGCCCCTCGCCTCGCGATGGAGGCACGGGGGGTCCGAGCCTGGCACCGGCCGCGGGACCCCGCTCCTCCCGACCCCGCCCGGTTTCCGGTGGCTGCCCCTCCCCCGGAACCCCTCCCGCCGGCGGCGGCGGGCGGGGCGGCAGCGGCATGGCTGGGGGCTGGCGGGCGCGCTGACTGGCGCGGCGGCGGCGAGGGGTGCGGAGGATGGCGGCGGTGCGGGCGCTGCTGGTGCTGGGTGAGTGCGGGCCGGGGCAGCCGCCGCAGCTTCCCCCGCCCCGGGAATGCAGGTCCCGGCGGCGGGGCTTCGCGCCCCCCTCTCGCGTCCGTAGCTGGGCCGCGATGCGGCTGACGGCGAGGCGGGGGGCTCCGGGGCTGAAGGAGGTGCGGCCGTCCCCGGGGGCCGAGCCTCCGGTGGTCTGCGCCCCCTCGGGTTGGGGGGGGGAGGGGGGGAGGGAGGGAGGGAGGGAGGGGGGAAGCATCGGGGCTCCGGCGCGGAGCAGGGGCTGCGTGGGGCCCTGTGTGTTCCAGCCCGGGGGCGGCTGCGCCCCCGCCCCGCGCAGCCCCGGGAGCCACCGGGGCGCCTCGCCCGGCTCTCCTTCCCCGGCGTGCGCCGGCTCGCCCTGCTCGCCCGCCCGCTCCTATGGGGGAGCGTCGTGCCTAAATCCACAGGGATGCAAATGCGCCAGACATTTGCCGTCTGGGAGATGGCGAGCAGGCACTCCCGGAGCAGCCGCGCTCCGGGGAGGGCTCCCGGAGGCCCCTCTAGCGAGGCTTGGCCCCGACCTGCGCCCCTCCGGGCTCCGTGGAGAGAGCTGAGACTGGGAAGGCTGTTTGTGTGCAGTGGTGGGTGGTTTTCCTATGAAATCTGATCAGATCAAAACTCGAGAACAAACAGTGGGTGCGCGGGGGGGTTCCACCCGTGGAGATTGACCTCCCGGCTGCTGGAGGGGTTTTGTCCCTTGCTGAGCGCATCTGGATGAGCCCTCTCCCCCGCCCCCCGTGCCAACCTCCATGCCGTGTAGGGTGTGAGCCAGCCTCCCTGCCCTGCCCTAGCTCTGCGGCCCGTTGATTTGCCTGGCTGCTTGCTTTTCACGTTGTCCAACTCCAACTACAAAGCCCAGACCCACCTTCCCTCGCTCTGCTCCATGGTGTTTCTCCCCCGCTGGCCTCTTAGCACCGTTTCCCTTGTCTGAGGAGCCCAAGGTCTTGGATGTGGCACGAGAGCCGCAGGGGCTGTGAGCTGGTTTTCAACCTGGCTTTGAAAGGTCCCACGGCTGCCCCATAACAGAGCACTTTGTCTCTTCTCTTTGGAGCCCTGCAGATGGGGAGGGTCCTGCGTGCTGCTAGTAGCCGTTTGCAGTCCTTTCTGTCTCACTGTGTGCACAGCTGTAGAGTTTGCTTTCCAGTTTCTGCTGCAAAATCAAGAGCAATCTTAGTTTAGCACTTGGGTAGGATACTGCCTCTGAGGGAAAGATATCTGTAGCTTCTGCCCTTCCATATCTGGAGGTGTGGCTGAGCCCTGCTGCCAGGCGGTAAGTATTGTCCAATTTACAGCTGATAAGCATGAAAAGCAACGCTTACTTAGCTGATTAGCACCGTGATTGCAGAACGTCTTGGCAGCCTTCTGGGAAGGCTGTTTCTGGAGAGGGAGTGCATGCTTAGCTTGGGCCCTGGATTGAAGCCACAGGGCCCTGTGAACCTGCCACAGCATTCACCTAGCTGCCAGCAGGCCACTACCGGCAGCTGGGATGTGCAGACCTGCTTGTGAGGGCTGTCGGTTGCCTTTCCTACCAGCACACTCCGCTCTACAGTTGCTGGAGTTTCTGTGTGGCTCCAAGCATGTACAGTACTCCTTGTTTCTCTTGCTGAGCAAGACCATGTCCTGCAGCACTGGGAGGAACATGCTGCTGTTGGGCTCTCAGACACTAAAAAATCTCAGATGGTGAAACATACTGTTTGACATCTAGGTTTTTATAGGCTAGTGGTAAGTTTTGTGGGCTGCAAGGCGTTGTCTCCCTTTGCCTGTAGATGCTGTTTGGAAAGAGCACTGGGCAAAGACCTGTGAGGCGTGGAGGCTCATGCAGGTCCTTTGCCATGTGTTTCAGAAGTGCTCGGTGCCTAGACTGCTGGTCCTTGTTCCTCCATTTCCGTTGTTCAGTGAAGCTGTGATCTTTCTGGCAGTGGCACTGCACCATGCCAAATGTGTGCTGACTTAGGCTGGAACATCTGGTTGAAGTGCTAGCAGAGGAAATATTTGCTGAGTCAACTTTTCTTTGAAGCGAAAAAAAACCCCAAAAGGTTGATTTTGTTCTGGAAATGCCTCCATGTCCTGTGGTGAGCTCTGTGTTTCTGTATGGCAGTACTTTTCTCATGTTTGCTAGCAAGCCTGGTCTTAAAGAAGAAAATTTCTGAAGACGGTAATGATCCGATCCCCCTTGGGACTTGGCTGTGTTCAGATGGGGCTCTAGGCGGGCTGGAACCCTGATGTGGCAGGAGCTTCAAAGGCATGGCAGCTCCATAGTCGTGGCCATAGGCACTTCTTTGTCTGCACAGTGGGGTCTTGAACCACTGTGAGCTGGCACTGATCAGAGGGTTGTCATGTTCTGCATCCTTTAAAGATGTCCTCTGAGCTCTTAATTGATCTGGAATGAAGCTGTCTTCTAAAGGCAGACGGGCAGACGTTTAAACTGCAGCAAGCACCCTGTATTTAGTTGCATGCTGGGTAATGAACACTTGCCGATTTAGAATATGTTTCCTCCCAGTCTGCTGAATACCTCTTGCTCAAGGGAGGCAAGTGGATGGCAGCTCATATCTGCTAGTAGGTCAGATGCTTGGCCAAGGGCTGGTCCATGTTGCATCCAAGCAGATAGGCACGTGTCCTAGGAGAGCAGGCTGCACTTTCTCTAAAGGCCATGGAGCTCAAGGGGAATGGAGAAAAGAAGGTAGGAAAGGGGTAGGAAGAGAAGAGCCTGGCTTTGGGGCAATGGACAAGAATGCAAGGGCCAG